CATATTTCACAGCACTCAAGTGCTGCCCTCTGGGCCTGCCCAGGTCTGGGGGATGCTGGTCCCACACGCTCTCACTCACACAGCGGCCTAGCAGCAAGACAGAAGGCCTACTAGCTCTCTCCTCTAGTGGGCATAGCCCTACCCAGGCCATGGGCACAACACACAAGCCTGTGTACCCACCACGACAATTGCAAAGCAAGAAGAGCCCTCCGAAGACATCTATCATTGACTCCACACCACTGCATCTCACCAAAATAAATCTCGTTATAAGTGGGAAGTGGTGGTCGCAGCAGTTGTGTTTGCCTGGAGAGAGGAAGGAAGAGGGATGAAGTCATCTTCACTTCATCACCCTATACAACAAGCATCCATCTCTCAATGAGTTATCCTGATGTTGTGTCTGCACGTTTCAGCATCCAGACACAGGTACAAGCAGGATCCAGCCGAAATTTGCCGAATTTCTTCAAGAATTGTAAGTGGCATCCCAGTGACCCCATGCTACAGCGTCCCATGCTGTTTCTCAAGTCACGTGTTCAGCATCACTTGTATGCTCTGTTGTTGTTGTTCAGCTCAGCACAGCTATTTCAGCAAGCCAGAGGTGAGTTTTGTGGTGATTTCTGCATCCAGTGTGAGTATTTCGCCGTGTTGTGGGTTTGAGAGGAGGAAGTCACCAGATCCTCCCTGTCATACACTCACCCATGCTCCTCGCCACCACACTACCATACACTACGATGTACTCACTCCCTCTGCTGTGTTTTCTGCTGTTTTCCATGTGAATTGATTGCCATTGCTGTGTATCCGAGTGCCTGTGGCCACTCGAAGCCACGTGGATCAGTAAGCCATGTGGATCAGCAAGCCATGTGTATCAGCATGCCACGTAGATCAGCATGCCATGTGGATCAGCAAGCCACGTAGATCAGCAAGCCATGTGGATCAGCAGGCCACATAGATCATGATGCCACGTGGATCCCGATGCCACATGGGGGTGGATGAAGCCACGTGGATCTGCAAACCACAAGAGTTGCCAGGCCAGATGTCCCAGGCCTCATGCTGTGGTCTGCTGCTCACATCACATTGATGTCACCGATGCTGCTGCCTGACTTCATGACGTCACGATGTCTGCCTGATGTCACCTCAAGATGTCTGGTGATGTCACAGTGCTGTTGATGTCACCTCACGACATCATGACTGACATCACATGATGTCACATCGAGTGTTTCTAGTAATTATTTTAGTATTGTTGAGAAGATTGAGAGAAGATATATGTCGTGTGTTAATTAATTCCTCTCAGTCAGTGTTCTCACATGTTAGTGTATGGCTTAGTGTCAGTTTTGTGAACAGAAAAGCATCATTTGCTAGTTAAGCCATGTTGTATCACATGTACCACGGGTGTGTGTAAGGTTTTCCGTGTGTCCAGTGTGGTCTGAGCCAGACCCCTGTGTAGCACCACTGTGTTAAGTCACCCGGTGTGACCAGTGCATCTGACAGCTGAAATTACTCAGCCTCTGAGCGTTTGAGTCCCTTTGTACAAAAAGCTCTTATGCTCGTCGCTCATAGATATTCTGCAGAATTGTACCTACTATGATTCCCATTGAGATTTGTTTCACTTCACCTCCAGACCTTCAGAGTGCAGTTATATGTAGAGAAACAAGTCTGGGGATGCTTAGACTAACCTCTGCTATAATTCCAACTGCCGAGAGAATGACTCTCGTCAAGCCGCAGTTAGCCCTGTCGGCAGGTGCTGTGTCAGCCTCATGTCACAAGCTTCAATGAGCAACCTGCACAAAGAAGATGTCACTTTGACTGCTAGCTCGCTCACTACAGTCTGGTGTATGGTGTTACGACTCCTAGATGTTTTGCCCAATCGTCTCTGCCACGACTCGCTCCACAACTTGCTCCACACTTGCCAGCAGTGACAGCCCAGTGACAGTACCAGTTGAGTAGTGTCATCCTGAGTCACTTGCCAGAAGTACTGCCCAGTTGCCGAGTTTTGTCAATGCCTCAGTCGAGGGCACCAGCATGTCGTGCCCCAGGTTGAGTGAAACCTGCAGCGACTCCTACGATGACTGTTTCACCATTCTAGAGGAGACTGTACCCTGTTATGTCATAGCTCAACACCAGTAATGTCTCCTGTGTTGCAGTATCTGTCCAGACGCAGGAAGGCGAGCAGTGATGCCCTTCGACACTCAGTGCCTATGACCACGATGTTTAGCATACCCCACATGTTTTTTTCTTCCCTCCCAGTAAGAAGTTTTTTTTCCATGTCCATATGTATATATACATTTTTTATTTTGTGTTCTGTGCCCTGTTCCTACGAGAGAGAGACCGAGTTTTTTTTTTACCACCAGTATTGTCGAGGTAGGTGGCCGAGCATATGTAGACAGCCTGTATTGTCTGCACAGACAGCCTATACTGTCTGCCAGCTTAGTTCATATTTTGCGGCACTCAAGTGCTGCCCTCTGGGCCTGCCCAGGTCTGTGGGACGCTGGTCCCACATGCTCTCACTCACACAGCGACCTAGTAGCAAGACAGAAGGCCTACTAGCTCTCTCCTCTTGTGGGCATGGCCCTACCCAGGCCATGGGCACAACACACAAGCCTGTGTACCCACCACGACTTTGCAAATAAAGTAAGAAGCCTCCAAAGATGTATCATTTACTCCCTGCTACCAGCTACACCAAATAATCTCTTTATATAAGGAATACACTTGAACACTACAAAATAATACTTACTAAAGGCAGGGAGTAGCATAAAAAAAACACAGATAAAAATATAAAAATGAAACATGAAAGATGAATGATAACACTGAAAAATATTGCAAAAATAATGAGTCAAAGAAACACTGAGTCTACATTGAAAACACAAGGCTTAGAGTACACAAGAAATTCACTGTAAATGTTTCACATATGCAAATGTTCTTTAAATGCAAGGCAAACATCTCTAAATGGAAAATTATCACTGAAGTCTGGAGTGGTAGACGGCGGTGACAAGTGATTAGGGAAAGATGGTCCTGTGGGAGGGTGATGATTCCTCCTACACTCACACTGCTGTTATGAAGAAATGCACTTTCTAGGTGAACTCACATAACTGGCTTTATCGTTGGTGCACAGTTACAATCTCTTGACCAATTATGTGAGCCAAAACAGTACTAGGACCTGGTATAAGGGTGGAAAAACCCACAGGTAGATGAGGTGGGGAGTGGGTGGTGGGTGGGTGTGGCAACCTGGCCCACTGGCATGCACTGCCACTCACTACTCAAAAGAAACACCCAGATGGCTTAACTAAGCCACAATATGCCACAGGGATGGTGAAGACCACTCTTACCAGCATCCAACTGGGAGCACAAAGTTTTATAGGAGACAATACTTCAGAGGAACTTGTGTGGCTTACTTCTCTCTCTCAGCTGGGTTAGGAAGCTGGGTTGACTGACTGGTTTAACCCACGAGAATGGCTGATTGGAAGACGTGTAGTGATGCACACAGCATGAAAGAGTAGGTGCATGACAGGAGACAGGCTGGATGATAGGCTGAGGCAGGCTGACTGGCATTCACTTCTACAGTCTGGCTTACTGGCTGGCTTAATTGCAAAATCAGGGTCAACCCCTCGGATGTTGAAGCAATTAGCACACAAACTAAGCCAGGAAGCTTGAAAGACTGCTGCAACTGGTTTTTAAGCTGGAACGGCTGGTTGAGGCTGACAGACATGACCTCTGACCTGTCGGCACCCCACAAACAAACTTCTAACGTCTGAAATACCGGTAAATCTACGCCCACGCCCCTGTCATCAAACTGTCATGCGAGGGTGGTTCGATAACATGGATTGGGTAATAACACTAACGTTGGATGTTCTAGTATAATTATAAAGGAATATATGGGAAGCACCAGACCTGCCCTGCCTCTCTGCTCTCTATCTTAAGACTGACTCACAAATTGAGTCCTAAGGGTGAGCGGCATTCAAAACATGTTATGGTCAGCAGCAACATGAATAACAGTCAGTGATTCACGCAGACAGTTGGTAGTGAGTCATACTACTGGTAACTGGCTACTGGTACTACTGGGAACTGATACTACTGAGAGACCCACCTGCCTGTTCAGCCTATATCATAGTATTGTATGTCAGATACTACGTAACATAACGAGCTGTAGTATGCTACTGAATCCCTTGCTGTTAGTATATTGTGGATTATCATCCATGTATATATTTAGGCTCCCTGATCAATAGGCTCAGTGACTAGCATGTGTGACGTCACGTGATGCTGTTGTGAGCCCTTCGCACCTGGGATCCTTCTCAGTTCCCGCATAGGTCTACGCCAGGCAAGACACAGCAGTTTGGGCTCTCCCCCTTCATACTCTAATATAAGTGTCACCATCCAACAAGTGTGTTTTACTCCAATCATCATATCTCCTACGAACCCCCACTAAATGTGTGTGTGTGTGTGTGTGTGTGTGTGTGTGTGTGGGTGTGTGTGTGTGTGTGTGTGTGTGTGTGTGTGTGTGTGTGTGACTCAACAATCAATATTTGCACCAATAACTCATTACAGTTGTGACCGGGTGTGGAAGTGTGAATTATTCATTACTCTATTATTTGTTCATGATTGTAGCCATGTATAAACGTAAGTAACCATTCTTACATGATTCATTACCTTTGTAACTCGTGAGTTCATTACCTTTGTACCTAGTTCAGCTATCAAAACTTTGGGGGCCCAGTCCTTGGACCCATTACGTACCTCTGTAATCTGTAAATACCTTTGTAACTTGTCATGATTGTGACCAGACCTACCTGGAGTTCATTACCTCTGTAAATTGTGAGTTCATTACCTTTGTAAATTGTGAGTTTATTACCTTTGTAATTGTGAGTTAATTACCTCCGTAACTTGCTCAGCCATCAAAACTTTGGAGTCCAGTCCCTGGACCCATTATGTACCTCTGTAATCTTTTGATTACCGCCCACAGGATGGGTATGGGGTGCATAATAAACATATTAAACTAAAACTAGCTGACTAACCTTTAAGTGTGTCCTGAGAAGATTAAGCCTGGCAGGTGGCGAGGAAGGACCATAACCCATGATGGTAGAGGCCATCAAGGTGACTTCCACCCGGGATGAGGTCACGTTGGGAAGAGTGAGTGTGGTCACGTCACCCAACACACTGACATTGTGAGTAACGCCAGTGTCACTCTCCTTCACTGTAATCTGTCAGTGAAGTGAACATTATCATCAAAAGTAAAATTGTGAGGAAAGATGTCAGAGAGATGAAGAAAGTACTTAGGGAAGTCTGACAGACAAGCAAAATGTCAAAGGTCAAGTAAAACAAGAGAGAAGAATTACTGTTATTAACAAAATTATTTAAAGTAATGTTAAGCTGACAGTGAATGATCCACACAATGTCCTAATAATTCGTCCACCTGAACCACCCAGGTGGTCCACCTAAACCACCCAATGTACCACCAAATGGTCCACCTGAACCACCCAATGCACCACCAGGTGGTCCACCTGAAGGTCCATCTAATAAATGAATCTCCACTGTGTGTGGCACAGACCAACTCAACACTACAGCTAGTGGGATCACAAGGAGATAATACATTGTGACTCATTCCATAATCACCCAAATCATGTAGCAATATGAATCTTGATGGGTCGCTCATGATCGCATCACTCGCATCATGACATGTTTCACCACAACTTAATAAGAATAGTGATAGTTACTGTGAACACTTTAAGAAGGAAATTTAAGTCAACGAAATATGCATCCTACTGAGACTGGTTTAAAATACCCATATATGGTCTGCATTATGTTTAAGACCTAGAGGGACAACTCCTTAATTTCTTTAAATAAGCAAGGCTACAAAACAAGACAAAGTGAATCTAAGAATGTTGTGTGGATATGCTGACCGATGCATGGTACAACTGGCACAGATAAAAATAGCCTTTGTAAAAAAGGCACAAATAAAAAGTAAGAAAAATTGCCTCTTTCATTTATGGTATAGTATAGTATACCTGGAGTTTACCTGGAGAGAGTTTCGGGGGTCAACGCCCCCGCGGCCCGGTCTGTGACCAGGCCTCCTGGTGGATCAGCGCCTGATCAACCAGGCTGTTGCTGCTGGCTGCACGCAAACCAACGTACGAGCCACAGCCCGGCTGATCAGGAACTGACTTTAGGTGCTTGTCCAGTGCCAGCTTGAAGACTGCCAGGGGTCTGTTGGTAATCCCCCTTATGTATGCTGAGAGGCAGTTGAACAGTCTCGGGCCCCTGACACTTATTGTATGGTCTCTTAACGTGCTAGTGACACCCCTGCTTTTCATTGGGGGGATGGTGCATCGTCTGCCAAGTCTTTTGCTTTCGTAGTGAGTGATTTTCGTGTGCAAGTTCGGTACTAGTCCCTCTAGGATTTTCCAGGTGTATATAATCATGTATCTCTCCCTCCTGCGTTCCAGGGAATACAGGTTTAGAAACCTCAAGCGCTCCCAGTAATTGAGGTGTTTTATCTCCGTTATGCGCGCCGTGAAAGTTCTCTGTACATTTTCTAGGTCGGCAATTTCACCTGCCTTGAAAGGTGCTGTTAGAGTGCAGCAATATTCCAGCCTAGATAGAACAAGTGACCTGAAGAGTGTCATCATGGGCTTGGCCTCCCTAGTTTTGAAGGTTCTCATTATCCATCCTGTCATTTTTCTAGCAGATGCGATTGATACAATGTTATGGTCCTTGAAGGTGAGATCCTCCGACATAATCACTCCCAGGTCTTTGACGTTGGTGTTTCGCTCTATTTTGTGACCAGAATTTGTTTTGTACTCTGATGAAGATTTAATTTCCTCATGTTTACCATATCTGAGTAATTGAAATTTCTCATCGTTGAACTTCATATTGTTTTCTGCAGCCCACTGAAAGATTTGGTTGATGTCCGCCTGGAGCCTTGCAGTGTCTGCAATGGAAGACACTGTCATGCAGATTCGGGTATCATCTGCAAAGGAAGACACGGTGCTGTGGCTGACATCCTTGTCTATGTCGGATATGAGGATGAGGAACAAGATGGGAGCTAGTACTGTGCCTTGTGGAACAGAGCTTTTCACCGTAGCTGCCTCGGACTTTACTCTGTTGACGACTACTCTCTGTGTTCTGTTAGTGAGGAAATTATAGATCCATCGACCGACTTTTCCTGTTATTCCTTTAGCGCGCATTTTGTGCGCTATTACGCCATGGTCACACTTGTCGAAGGCTTTTGCAAAGTCTGTATATATTACATCTGCATTCTTTTTGTCTTCTAGTGCATTTAGGACCTTGTCGTAGTGATCCAGTAGTTGAGACAGACAGGAGCGACCTGTTCTAAACCCATGTTGCCCTGGGTTGTGTAACTGATGGGTTTCTAGATGGGTGGTGATCTTGCTTCTTAGGACCCTTTCAAAGATTTTTATGATATGGGATGTTAGTGCTATTGGTCTGTAGTTCTTTGCTGTTGCTTTACTGCCCCCTTTGTGGAGTGGGGCTATGTCTGTTGTTTTTAGTAACTGAGGGACGACCCCCGTGTCCATGCTCCCTCTCCATAGGATGGAAAAGGCTCGTGATAGGGGCTTCTTGCAGTTCTTGATGAACACAGAGTTCCATGAGTCTGGCCCTGGGGCAGAGTGCATGGGCATGTCATTTATCGCCTGTTCGAAGTCATTTGGCGTCAGGATAACATCGGATAGGCTTGTGTTAATCAAATTTTGTGGCTCTCTCATAAAAAATTCATTTTGATCTTCGACTCTCAGTCTGGTTCGAAGATCAAAATGAATTTTTTATGAGAGAGCCACAAAATTTGATTAACACAAGCCTATCCGATGTTATCCTGACGCCAAATGACTTCGAACAGGCGATAAATGACATGCCCATGCACTCTGCCCCAGGGCCAGACTCATGGAACTCTGTGTTCATCAAGAACTGCAAGAAGCCCCTATCACGAGCCTTTTCCATCCTATGGAGAGGGAGCATGGACACGGGGGTCGTCCCTCAGTTACTAAAAACAACAGACATAGCCCCACTCCACAAAGGGGGCAGTAAAGCAACAGCAAAGAACTACTGAAAATATTAGACCGAGTGTGTTTATACTGATAACTTTCTCTGGGAGAGGAATGACGGTATAGTGCAAATTAAGAGCATTCTGAGAGAGGGGACAACCTTCTACCTAGTAATATATGGCATTAACACCAGGTAAATGACCCTCTCTGTTTGTTCAGTCCTCTGTGTCGTCTGTGAGACACCTGTTAAACGTAAGTAACCATTCTTACAGTATTCATTACCTTTGTAACTTGTGAGTTCATTACCTTGTACCTAGTTCAGCCATCAAAACTTTGGGGGCCCAGTCCCTGGACCCATTACGTACCTCTGTAATCTGTAAATACCTTTGTAACTTGTCATGATTGTGACTAGACCTACCTGGAGTTCATTACCTTTGTAAATTGTGAGTTCATTACCTTTGTAAATTGTGAGTTCATTACCTTTGTAAATTGTGAATTCATTACCTCTGTAACTTGCTCAGCTATCAAAACTTTGGAGTCCAGTCCCTGGACCAATTATGTACCTCTGTAATCTTTTGATTACCGCCCACAGGATGGGTATGGGGTGCATAATAAACATATTAAACTAACTGTTAAAGCATTACCTGTGGTGTTTGACTCATGTGACCTTAATTAAGGATCTTGGTGATCTGCCTCACCTGGGTGACTGAGTAATCTGTTTCATGTGCATGATCATATAACCTGTTTTAATGTTTTAATCTTTCTTCATCTGTATGGTTACGTATGAACTCTGTGAGACTTGACTAACATGAGTTGACTTACCAGGTACTTGAGGATGACTCCATGGGCATGGCGAGGGGATATGGGGCTCCAGTGTAGTGTAAGGGCGTACAGACCTGACTCAACTCGTGCCGCCCACCAGCGGGACAACACCGCCCACCCTGATGGTACTGTATGAAGAGAAAATGATATTAGATATTTATATTACATTTACTATGAAGTGAATAAACTGATTTCTGCCAGTTAGGTATGAGTATCTTCATGTGTCATTTATATAACCTGTAATTACTAAGCTGATTATATGAGGTATGATGATACTGACTTACGTACAGTTTTTAACATGTTAAATTCACGGGTTTTAACTCTAAGCTTTTAAGCCCACCTCTTAACTTTCTCTTGGTTAAATTATTCAACAACTCCCTTTTCTGTTTTTTAGTTGAAAGTGTTTTAGCGTACAGTGTGGCACTATGTAGTCTAATGCAGGTTATACAACTCTTGTATTCATTGTACTTCATCTATTGACCATATGTACAATTACTGCACTGTTAGTCTTAAGTTTGCCCAAAATGCTCTACATATAAAGGGGCTCTTGGCATGTACACCCAAGTGTTACACTCCTTTGAACAAATATGTACATGTATTATGCTAAAATAAAATTATTATTATTATTATTATTATTATTTATTATTATTATTATTATTTATTATTATTATTATTATTATTATTATTATTATTATTATTATTATTATTATTATTATTATTATTATTATTATTATGGTTAAAGGTAAGAACTTTTATACTAGACAGAGAACCTTCACGGAATGTATCAGAGAAATTTCATGGCACGTGTAAGTACGATAAAGCACCTAAATTACTGGGAACAGCTGAAGTTCCTTAATCTGTACTACCTGGAACACATGTGAGAAAGATACATGACAATATACACTTGGAAAAACCTAGAGGGACTAGTCTCAAATCTTCACATGAAAATCACTCACTATGAAAGCAAAAGACTCGACAGGAGATGCAACGTCAGCCCAATGAAAAGCAGAGGTGCCATGAGTTACACTAAGAGACAACACAACAAGTGTGAGGGGGCCAAGACTGTTCAACTGCCTCCCAGCATACATACTAAGGATTACCAACAGACCCCTGGCTGTCTTCAAGGAGGAGTTGGATAGGCATCTCCCTGGAGTATACCTGGAGAGAGTTCCGGGGGTCAATGCCCCTGCAACCTGGTCTGTGACCAGGCCTCATGGTGGATCAGGGCCTGATCAACCAGGCTATTACTGCTTGCCGCACGCAATCCAACATACGAACCACAGCCCGGCTGGTCATGTGATGACTTAGGTGTTTGTCCAGTTCCTGCTTGAAGACAGCCAGGGGTCTATTGGTAATCCCCCTTATGTATGCTGGGAGGCAGTTGAACAGTCTTGGGCCCCTGACACTTACTGTGTTGTCTCTTATCGTGCTAGTGGCATCCCTGCTTTTCATTGGGGAGATGTTGCATCATCTGCCGAGTCTTTTGCTCTCGTAGGGAGTGATTTTCGTGTGCAAGTTTGGTACTAATCTCTGTAGAATTTTCCAAGTGTTTATAATCACGTATCTCTCCTGCCTGCGTTCTAGGGAGTACAGGTTGAGTCATTACCTGACCAGCAGGGCTGTGGTTCATATGTCAGTTTACGTGTGGCCAGCAGTAACAGCTTGGTTGATCAGGCCCTGATCCACCGTGAGGCCTGGTCATAGACCAGGCCACGGGGGCATTGTTCCCCAAAACCCCCTCCAGGTACACTCCAGGTAATGTGCCACTGCAGAATTCAGTTTTTAACTTTCCCTCTACTAGGTCTTATCATTCTCAACATTCTGCTAGTGTCTATCCTGTCTATTTATGAGTGTATAAGTATGTGTACATGTGTCTTCATGTGCTATTCATGTTTCATTATATCATAAAAAATTTCTTAACTTTTATTCAAGGCTTATCTAGCCTTTAATTAGTAATTTAATGATAATGACCCAGCCTTAATGTTAAAAATCCAGAGCAACATTATTAAAATCTATTCTGTGTGGCTTAAACAAGTGGAGACTTTAGAAGCATCACTTGGTGATGTAGCAGTTTCTTGCTCACCGTCCTGGGGGGTGGTGAAGGGCTGCAGGTTGGAGGGGACGCCGAGGACGCCTTTGTAGTGAGGGAGGAGCAGGAGCCAGTAGGAGGTGTAGGGAAGGAGACCCTGTACCTGGTGAGAGAGTTTCCCAGGGTAGGAGGTGTGGCCTAACACCCGTAGTTTGGAACACTGGGGAGGTGCCCTCTGTGGAGGGCGCCTCTCAGAGCCTACCTCATCATCCTCATCTTTTTCCTCCTCTACCTCGTTCTTTTCTTCTTCTTCTATCGTAGAGTTGTGTGCTTGCATTCTAGTAACTACGTCTGAGGCTGTTGGGGTAACAAAGCAATGTGAGTACTCTGCAGGATCTGCTTCTCCTCACAGTCAGATATAACTGGAGTAATATTAACAGAGGAACTATAACTAATAACTCATCAAACTAGGTCATCAGAAATGATCAAAGGACATTGCAACACTACCTTTCATTTGCTGTTTTTTAATAGCTCTATTTTTTTAAAATTACAGTAAAATGCATTTATGTCCAATGAACTGTATCAGCAGTTAAAACTAATGAATATTCCTGGAAAAAGAAGGAGTTGGAAACTGGAATTTGCAGGACACTGGGATAAAACACAAGTCACAGACCAAACACCATAGACAAGTCACATACTGACTTGATTTTACACACATTAAGATTAAACCACCACATTAGTCTTAAAACTCATGAAAATATAAAAGATTAAAAATTTTAATATCTATAAAAATGCTCAACTTCTTAACAATAAAAGATTACTCTAACATGTGAGTAAGGCTTCTACATATATCTCGGTGATAATGAATTCATGCCTAAATTGGTCTGGCCAGAGCCTGGAACATGTTATTAAAATTAGGTTGACAGCCACCATTGTACACCACAAGATGCAGATAGAAGCAGTGTGGAATGAGAACCAGGCGCCCATATCTGCTAAATCTAGACATCTTGCTGCTTGTTTGTATGGTATATTGGGACAGCTACTGCCCTATTACATAACTTCTAAGGGCCACAAAGTCAATGGAAGGTAACAACCCACAGTAAAGCTCACACTATACACCAACCTTTGCTTCTGCATCTGACTATTGATTACCTAGGACCCTGATGTGCCGTGGGTGCCCATACATCACCAGGCCAAATAAATTTGCACCGAAGAAAATCCAAGGTTCGTAGCCTTTACATTTGTTCATGGATATCACTCCATCAAAAGCACACGTGGAGGAGTTATGTCTTCATGATACAATTCAGTCTTGGATCATGAGTGAGTCACTGGTACCACCAAGAGTCAAGGGGAAAATTACTTTATGTTATATTTGGCCGAGTTTGGATGATAAGTATTTTTTAACACACCTGTCATCTCCCACTGATGCAGGGTGACCCAAAAAAATAAAAAGAAAAAAATTAAGTTTTCCTCATTACATCTAATAATATATACAGGAGAAGGGAGTTACTAGTCCCTTGTTCCTGGTATTTAAGTCGCCTCTTAAGACACACATGGCTTACGGAGGAAGAATTCTTTTCCATTTTCCTCACAGAGAATGGTATGTATGATAATTTATAATATAATTTAAAAACAAAAAAGTGTGAATGTGCCCCAAGTCATCTAGCCTGTGTTGAATACTTACTCATAGTTCTGCTTCTCTCCATGTGCTCACTGTTGTCAGTGGTGGAGAGTGAAGTGGTGGTAGTTTGTTGGAGGAGAGAGGAGTGCCTTCTGGTGTGGTGGTGATGGTTGTGGTGCCTGAGGGAGATGTCATGTGCCTGGAGCTGTTGGTGTACCCTGGGAAAGACGAGGCCAGTGCCACGTTCACACGCCAGGACATAGATACCTTCCAGGTGTTGCGTAGCCCGGCTCACCTGTATGCCAACACTCATCTAAATATTTACCAAGACTCAACACTCAACTAACTTGAAATTTGGGAAGTTTATTAAAACTTAATAATTTACCATGAGCAATTAAGAATACTTTTAAAATGCAATGCTATTTATACAGGCTTCCTGTATGTAGTCATGGATGTGTGTGTGTACTCACCTAATTGTGGTTGCAGGGGTCGAGACTCAGCCCCTGGCCCCGCCTCTCTCTCTTGCTTCCAGAGCTTTGTCATACCTCGTCTTAAAGCTATGTATAGTTCCTGCCTCCACTACATCACTTGTTAGGCTATTCCACCTCCTGACGACTCTATGACTGAAGAAATACTTCCTAACATCCCTCTGACTCGTCTGAGTCTTCAGCTTCTAATTGTGTCCCCTTGTTTCTGTGTCCCATTTCTGGAACAACCTGTCTCTGTCTACCTTATCTATTCCACTGCAGTATTTTGTATGTCATTATCAAGTCTCCCCTGACCCACCTGTCCTCCAATGTCGTCAGTCCGATTTCCCTCAACCTTTCTTCGTAGGACATGCCCCTGAGCTCTGGAACTAACCTTGTTGCGAATCTTTGCACTTTCTCTAATTTCTTGACGTGTTTGCCCACCTGGAGTTACCTGGAGAGAGTTTCGGGTCAACGCCCCCGGGCCCGGTCCTGTGGCCAGCCTCCTGTGGATCAGCGCCTATCACCAGGCCTGTGTGTGGCTGCAGCAAATCATCTGGTTATGGTGTCCAAAAATGCTCGGTGATCATGGTAACCTGACTTTTAGGAGGTTTGCCAGTTTTCCACTAGTCTATACTGCCGGGTCTTTGCCTTCCCACTTCATGATGTTTGCTGGCAGGGTTGATTGAGAACAGTTTTTCCCCTGGTCCCCTGTCAACTTATTGTATTGCCTCTCCTAACGTGCAATTATTCACCATCTGCTTTTCATTGGAAGGGACATCTCTCAAGTCTTTGCTTTCATATGTCGTGATTTTCAAATGCTGGCCCAAAGGGTCGGACTGTCCCTCTAGGACTTCCCGTTATATGACTCATTTTTCCTCCCCTGGTCCCGGGTATTCGTTGAAACCTTCAGTGCCCTCCAGTAATTGAGTGCTTGATCTCTAGTTATCGCCTAAGTTCTCTGTAACTGTTCGAGGTTTTTGTCAAAAAAGATCAACACCTCCTTGAAAGTCGCACTTGGTAAATATTGTCATAAAAAGAACAAGTGACCGAAGATTTGTTTCCCTCATGGCTTTGGCTTATAACTTTTGTAGGGCTTCTCCATTATCCTTCCTGTTTCATTTACTAAAGCAGTGCATTGTACAATTTATGTTTTTTCCTTAAAAGGGAATACCCTCCATACATAATCAGTTCCCAGGTGTGTTGAAGTTGTGTTTGGCCCGCTATTTTGTGGCCCCCGGGGAAATTTTTTTTGTTCTGGGATCAAGATTTAATTTCCCTCATTTTTTCCCTTGTGAGTAATTAAATTTTCGTGCAACTTCATCTATTGGGGTTTTTCCCGCAGCCCCTGAAAAGTATTATTAGAGTCCCCTGGAGTCCTGCAGTCCTCTGCTTGGAGACCACTCTCATGCATGATTCGGCGTGTTCTTTCTCCTAAGGGAAGAACACGGTGCCTGTGCTGACATCTTGTCTATGTCGGATTAGGATAGGAACAAGATGGGAGCTATACTGTGCCTTTTAAACTAGCTTTTCACCTAGCGACTTTGGAACTTTACTCCTGCTTGCTACCTACTCATCTGAGTTCGTTATGTGAATTAAATTAGGGTCCATCGACCGACTTTCTCCCTGTTATTCCTTTAGCGCGCATTTGTCGCTATTACGCCATGGTCACACTTGTCGAAGGCTTTTGAAAGATTCCGTATATTTACATCTGCATTTTTTGTCTTCTAGTGCATTAGGACTTGTCGGTAGTGATCCAGTAGTTGAGACAGACAGGAGCGACCTGTTACTAAACCCATGTTGCCCGGGTTTGTTAACTGATGGGTTTCCTAGATGGGTGGTGATCTTGCTTCTTAGACCCTTTCAAAGATTTATGATATGGGATTATGCATTGTCTGTAGTTCTTTGCTGTTGCTTACTCCCCCTTTTTGGAGTGGGGCTAGTCGTTTTTTTTATAACGAGGGGAAACCCCCCTGTCCATGCTCCCTCTCCAAGGATGGAAAAAGGGTCGTGAAAAGGGGGTTCTTGCAGTTTTGATAACCCCAAATTCCATGGTCTGGCCCGGGGCAGGTCAGGGCATGTCATTTATCGCCTGTTCAAAGTCATTTGGCCCAGGAAAAATTTGGAGGCTTGTGTTAATCAAATTTTGGCTCTCTCAAAAAAAATTCATTTTGATCTTCGACTCCATTTTGTTAGGGGCTTGCAAAAAAACTGATCATATTGGGGATTTGATAGCTCACTCATTTCCCTTGCTGTCATCTGTGTAGACCCTCTGTTTAAGGGGGGCCCCCCAATACTGGACGTTTTCTCTTTTTTGTTTTTGGCAAGAGAAAAATATTTTTTGGGTTTCTTTCGATTTCTTTTAGGCTTTTAGTTCTTCCCGCGTTTCCGATCCAAAGGATTCTTTTAGCTTAAGTTCGTGTTTGCATTCTCGACCAGTGTCTCCCTGCGCATTTCAATATATTGACCTTTTTTAGCCGCTCTGTTATTCTTTCCCGCCTGTAAAGGGAGCCCTTCTCTTTCTATTTTAACACTACTCCCCCCTTTTTTTTAGGGGAATAACCTTTGTCATAATCGAGTGCCCATTTAAACGTTCTAGGCATAATTTTTGGGTCTTTTTTGCTTATATTTCTTTCCACTTATATCGTTAACTTTGGTTTTCCCCTTTGGGCCCCCTTTATGTTTTTGTTATTAAGTTGAATTTGTGAATGCCCTCTGCATCTCATTTTTTCGGTCTGGGGTCCACGAACATGCTAAATCAATTAGTTGTGTCTGATAATTTTTTTTGATATGGTGACATTTCTTACGATCATCATTGTTAGTGAAAATGAGGTCTAGTGTATTCTCCACTAGTAGGCTCATTATTTTCTGGTTTTAAAATTTAAAATTTTTCAGAGATTTAAAAACTCGGTGGTGTGAGTTTTTTATCAGAGCGCCTCCTGGTTTATTACTGCAACAATATTATTTGCTATATTCCTCCATTTTTGGGCCTTAAGTTGAAATCCCCAGGAGCAAGATTTTTGGGGCAGGAACTGGAAAATTTTCCAATGGGCAATTTTAACACGTTCCTGGAATTTCTGGGGTGTTGCATCCAGGCTTTTAAATACCAAAAAGACTAGTTTTGGTTCTCGACCTTCCTAAAAATTCCCTACGTCATTTGACTTAAGCAGTTCTGGCAAACAAGGACTCTGCAATGTACAGGGCCCAACCCCCCCCCCCCCCCTTTTTCCTGTTCACTCTGTCACATTGTTAGGGTTTTAACCTGGGGTCCATATTTCGTTGTCCAAATGACCTTTATGTGGGGTCAGTGAAAGCCCCAAACATGCCTTTGCCCCCAACAGTCCACGGAGAAAGGATTTTGGGTTTGTTGCTGGGTTTAGACCCGTATATTTTCAAAGAAAATTTTATCGGACTGGTGGTATGTTTACTGGGGGGGGGGGTTTTTTTTTTTTTCCCGGGATATTTCGACTGTTGGTTTGGGGTGGGGCCCCGACTTGGTTCCACTCCAGGGAAAGACTGGGTTTGGGGTACGATTTCTGCCCCTTTCCCGCCCTTTTTTTTCCTTCCTGGCCTAAAAAAAACCTCCCCTCTTGAGTGGCTGTGGCTACCCAGTTTTCCCATGGCCGGGATTTTTTGTATCTTTTTGTCCCCTTTAGAGGTTGCCTGGCAATTTAAGTTATAGCACATCTTCCTGTACTGAAGAGGTCACATTTCAGGGAAAAAAGCTTACGGAAGGGAGTTTGCTTTTTCCTTTTGTCATATGGCGACATTTTCTGGGGTGGTCATAGTTGCAGTCCCATTTTTTTTCCCAGATTTCCCATCCCCGCAATCCAAGTCAATTTTGTCACAGGTTTGGTTTCCTTTTCCCTTTGGGTTTTCGTATGTATTCCCTGTTGGTTGCAGTTTCCCTGTCTTTTTCCTATCCTCCCTACCCCAAAAATGGAGCTCCCACCATTGTTTTTGGTAATTTATCCCCACTATTTCTATTGGAGTCCCTTGTTTTCTATTCCTGCAGTATTTTAGTTTGCAATATTGGGTTTTATCTTTTCTTTGACTACACTGTTTCCCCACTATGGCCCTGTCCCATGAGGTCATTTATATTTTTCCTTCCCCGCGATAATCCCGACTTACCCGGACAAAACTCCACTTCACCATTACGTCCCCAGGACAGTATCTCCACTTCACCATTTCTGTCTCCCAGGACAAAACACCTCCATCTTCACCATTACTGTCTCCCAGGACAGTATCTCCAGCTTCACCATTTCTGTCTCCCAGGACAGCACCTCCAGCTTCACCATTACTGTCTCCCAGGACAGCACTATCAGCCCCACATTTACTGACTACCAGGACATCACCTCCAGCCTTACAGTTTGTGACTACATGGCCAGTATCCAGGTGTGGGTTCCAAACTGGTGCTGCATACTCCAGTATGGGCCTGATGTACACAGTGTACAGTGTCTAGAACGATTCCTTACTAAGGTATCGGAATGCTATTCTCAGGTTTGCCAGGCGCCCGTATGCTGCAGCAGTTATCTGGTTGATGTGTGCCTCCAGAGACATGCTCGGTGTTATGGTTACCCCAAGATCTTTCTCCTTGAGCGAGGTTTGCAGTCTTTGGCCACCTAGTCTATACTCTGTCTGCGGTCTTCTTTGCCCTTCTCCGATCTTCATGAGTTTGCATTTGGCAGGGTTGAATTCGAGAAGCCAGTTTCTGGACCACATGTCCAGCCTGTCCAGGTCTCTTTGCAGTCCTGCCTCATCCTCATCCAATTTAATTCTTCTCATCAGCTTCACATCATCTGCGAATAGGGACACTTCAGAGTCTATT